AGTGTTGTCCGAGATGATGCCATTAGCTACACAGGGCTTTTTAAATTTAAAGTAGTTAAGCCCTAGCCGGTTTGGCTCTGTGGATAGAGCATGGGCCTAGGGACTGAAGGGTCCCAGTGCTCGATTCCGGTCAAGGGCATATGCTTGGGTTGTGGGCTTGATCCCCAGTAGGAGGCATGCAGGAGGCAGCCAATCCATGATTGTCTCTCATCATTGGTGTTTCTCTCTCTCTCTCCCTCTCTCTTCCTCTCTGAAATCAATACAGATATAAATAAATAAATTTAAAGTAGTTGAAATGGAATGCAATCGAAAGTTTGCATCAGCCACATTTCCAGGGCTCAGCAGTGACAGCGCACGGGTGGCCGAGGTCTGCTGGACTGGGCAGCCCCGAGTTTAAGCTCCAGGAGGGCAGAGGCAGTTGCTCCACAGCTGGGCCCTCAGGGCTCGCAGTTGAATGGAGGTGGAGGTGAAGGAATAACACATTCAACACTAAGGCATGGCGCTCTCACAGCTGTGTGTGTTTGAGGGCCCGAGCTGTGGAGTGCTTTGAATTGTACAGTCGGTGAGTGATGTGGGGCAAACATGAGCTCCTGATGGGTCTGAACAAGGGCTGGACTAAGCTTCTGGTGCATTCCTTTCTTTTTGTTAGGTGACCGACCCAGGACTTCTAAAAACAGGGCTTTCTTCCAAAGTTTATTCCTTGTCATAGATGTGCCCCTTGTGAGTTTTTGATTTATTGAAAGATTCTTCTAGGATTAAGAAAAGAGATGATGAAAAATTGTGAAAAGTAGGAATCTTTTTTTTTAAAGACAGGTTTTACTTCAAAACTATGGGTGCTTCTGACATTCAAAGGCCAAGGCATTTTCAGCTTCACATCTCCGTTCCCCTCCGCCCACCCCACACCTGGGTTTTGTAGCCTGGGTTGTTGTTTTCACATTGCCAGGTTTATAACACTCACTTGTGTTGTTGCTACAATGACCATAATTGCTCGGTAACAATTCACCAGGTAAGGACCAGTGCTCACCACTAGTCCTGTTTCCATCTGTGTCAGTGGGTTCTTTACTTTGCTATCCCTCTAACGAGCTAGATTTCTTTTCCCGTCATTTTTCAGGGAGGGCTCATGAGTGTTTCCTGAACATTTTCACGTTTGAGAATGTCTAGTCCATTGTCTTTATCTGTGAATGATAGCTTGGCTGGGTATAATATTCTTAGGTTATATCTTTTTCCCCTCAACACTTTGTGACTATTGTCCCGCTACCTCCTTGGCATTGGATGTGCTGAGGGGAAGCCTGAGGTCGGCTGATTTTCCCCCCAGGTGGGCGATTTGCCTTTTCTTCCTGAATTTCTGAACAATTCTTTCTGTTGTTTCATAGTCTGTTAGTTTAACTAGACCGCGTCTCAGAGATGAATAATTGGTATTGAACTTCTAGTATGCTCTGTACTCTTTGAATTTTGCAGAATCCTTTTTCAGTTTCAGAGAAATTTATTTAAATGTCCCTAAAACATCTTCTGGTACATTTGTTGGTGTTTTTACTTGAGGGGCACCAATTGTACCAGGTGTACCTGTTAATAATGCGGATTTTTTTTTCAATAGATGGAGTTACACATATGTTGATATATATGCAATTTGATAGTATGCTATTTTGTTGTATTGACAACAAGCTTCAAAACTTCATGTCAAATTTTCTGAAGGTGTTAACATCATAGATATTTTTACACTTAAAAGTGTCAAATTTCATGTCAAAAAAAGAGCATTTGCAGGAAGTTTTAATTCATTACTTTATTTTAAAGAAAATTGTTGATGAAAGTTATCGTATACTTTGGGAAGCTTATGGTGAACATGCTCCATCTCAAGACACTTGTGAACGCTGGTTTAAATGCTTTAAAAGTGATGATTTCTATGTGAAAGACAAAGTACATCCAGGTCAACCGAAAAAGTTAGAAGACCAACAATTACAAGCATTATTGGATGAAGATGTGTGTCAAACTCAAAAATAACTTGCGGAAAGATTAAACGTTGCTCAACAAACAATTTCCGACCGTTTACAAGCAATGGGAAAGATTTTAAAGGAAGGAAAATGGGTGCACATCAACTGAACGAAAGACAAATGGAAAACCGAAAAATCATCAGTAAAATGTTGCTTCAACGGCACGAAAGAAAGTCTTTTTGGCATTGAATTGTGACTGGCGATGAAAGTGGATTTATTTTGAGAATCCCAAACACACAAAATCATGGGTTGATCCAGGTCAACCATCAACATTGACTGCAAGGCCAAATCACTTTGGAAAGAAGACAATGCTCTGCGTTTGGTGGAATCAGGAAGGCGTGGTGTATGATGAGCTTCTAAAACCAGGTGAAACCATTAATACTGATCACTACCGACAACAAATAATCTATTTGAACCACGCTTTGATCGTAAAACGACCAGAATGGGCCAGAAGACACAGCAAAGTAATTTTGCTTCATGATGACACACCATCACACACTTCAAAACCAGTTAAAGACATGTTAAAAGATCTTGCCTGGGAAGTATTAACCCACCCGCCGTATTCACCAGACCTTGCTCCTTCAGATGACCACTTGTTCCGATCGAAGGCACACGCATTTTCTGAGCAGCACTTCAAAAACGTACGAAGAAGTAGAAAATTTGGTCTCTGAATGGTCTGCCTCAAAACAAGAAAAGTTCTATTGGGACGGTATTCACAAATTACCTGAAAGATGGGGGAAATGTGTAGCTAGCGATGGACATTACTTTGAATAAAGCACTTTTGATGTTTCTCTTGAAATTATCGTGTTTTCTTTGGATTACAAAAATCCGTATTATTAACTGGTTAATAGTTAATTCACACTATTAACCAGTTAATAATAAATCTGCATTTTAACTCGTTAATAGTAATCCGTATCATTAACCAGTTAAGAGTTAATCCGAACTATTAACTGGTTATTAATAAATCCACATTATTAACTGGTTGAGTTAATCCGTATCATTAACCGGTTAAGAGTTAATCTGCACTATTAACTGGTCAATAGTTCATCTGCATTATTGACTGTAATAATTCGGATTTTGTAATAAAAGAAAAGACGATAATTTCAAGAGAAACATCAAAAGTGCATTATTCAAAGTAATATCCATCGATAGCTACACATTTCCCCCATCTTTCAGGTAATTTGTGGATACCATCCCAATAGAACTTTTCTTGTTTTGAGGCAAGCCATTCAGAGACCCAATTTTCCACTTCTTCATATGTTTTGAAGTGCTGCTCAGAAAGTGCGTGTGCCATTGATCGCAACAAATGGTGATCTGAAGGAGCAATACAACAAAACAGCATACATATCAAATCGCATATATATCAACATATGTGTAACTCCATCTATTGAAAAAATCTGCATTATTAACCAGTACACCTAGTGTTAGTTTCCTATTGCTGCTGGGCAATTTCTCACCAACTTAGTGGCTTAAAACAACACAATTTTATTAACTCACAATCCTAGCGGTCAGGAACCAACACAGCCTCGCTGGGCTAACATCAGGTGTGGGCAGCGCTGGGGGGTGTCTGTTCCCTGCCTTTTCCAGCTTCTGGAATCAGCCTGCATTCCTTGTCTTACGGCCCCTTCTTCCTCCTTCAACGCCAGCAGTGCTGGTTGAGTCTTTCTCAGTTCACATCACTCTGACACTGACTCTGCCTCCATCTTCACTTTTTAAAACTCTGACACGAAATGCTGCTACCTCTTGCCTCTCAAATTCCCCCCCCTAGCATGAGCCTCTGTTTTCTCTCACTGCTCTCTCCTGGCTGTTTCTTCAGCTTCTTTTCCCAGCAGGAAAATCCCATCTTTCTTTCTCCGTTTCTATAATAATATCTCCCCCTTATTGATAGTGTAGAAGAATCATCTCCTGAGACAGGTTACATTCGTAGGCCCAGAGAGGGTGAGTAACTCCCTCAAGATCACACAGCATACGTGTAAGAGCCCAGTGGGACAGGGTGGCAGGCTCTGGGCCCTACTCTTGATCACACCCCCTGTGGCCCCGGTCAAGGGCATGTACCTTGGTTGCGGACACATCCCCAGTGGGGGGCGTGCAGGAGGCAGCTGATCGATCTCTCTCATCGATGTTTCTAACTCTCTATCCCTCTCCCTTCTTCTCTGTAAAAAATCAATAAAATATTAAAAAAAAATATATAAGATCACACAGCATACGTGTAAGAGCCCAGTGGGACAGGGTGGCAGGCTCTGGGCCCTACTCTTGATCACACCCCCTGTGGCCCCTCTAGTTCAGAAAAGGCTCAGAGAGGTGGCTTTTTCCCCTTGAGGAGCATTGAAACGTCTCTCCTTAAAGTGACCTCGGTTTCAGATTCTTGTACTTTCTCTTTGCCTTTGACAAACCTCCACCCTCCCTGCTGCCTCTGCGATGCTGCAGACAGTGGTGCATTTGCCAGTTTTATGGCTATGCTGTCGGTTTCCCTTGGCAACCACTTGAAGATTTAAAGCACGATTTTTCAAGTCATCACTTCAAGTTTGACCTGAGAGTTGCATCATATCTTACCCTCTTCTTTGCAGTGTAATTCCTTGAAGAAGAGATGGTAGATGGCCTTCTACTCTCCACCCACAACAGGACCACGTGTGAACACACAGTACATTTGTAATGCATTTGGGTTTTTTAAAATTAAGTCATACGTACGTCCATGTATTTGAAAATAATAATATTGCATTTGTATCAGCTTTTCTCTTTAAATGCCTTTCATGTTTCTCTTTCAAAGTCTCTCTCCCCTCCGTCCTGTGGGGTCTCCTCCCTGCAGGGTGACCACCCCTTTAGTCTGACCCCTAATCCCTGCAGCCCCCAACCCAGGACGAACCTGATTTCAGGTGATGGGCAGGGAGAGGCTCAGAACTGGTAGCCCCGGTTTCTCCAGGGAAGAGGTCAGCCCCTGGGCTGGACGCCCACCCACCAAGCTCTGTGTCCTCTGTTGCTGGCACCGGGCACCGCGGTGGCTGCTGAGTGGACATGGCTGAGCAGGCACAGCCAGGTGGTTCTACCGTCTACACCTGCTCACCCCTCACCAGCCCTGGCTGTTCAGGTGGAGAGAAGCAGCAGGGGGTCATCACCCAGAGCACCTGTGGGCTGTGGGCCACTTCCCTTTCTTGGCAGAGTGGGAACCTTTGTTTGGAACTCTCTCCCCAGGCTTCGTCAGCTTCACTGGCTGCAAAGAGTGAATTGTGTAGAAGCAAAATCTGGGAGGAACTGCAGTACCCCAGGGGCTGTGGCTCAGTAGCGGAGCATTGCCCCACGAACCAGGGAGTCCCGGTTCAGTTCACGGTTTAGGGCACATGCCCTGGCGGCAGGCTTGATCCCCAGTGCGGGGCGTGCAGGAGGCAGCCGATAAGTGATTCTCTCTCTCCCTCTCCTTTCCTCTCTGAAATAACTAAAAATCTATCTTTAAAAAAACCAGAGATTTAGATGGTATCAGATCCACAAACAAACCATGTCCCAGGTGGTCCTGATGTGACAGCTCCCACATCAGCTTCATCTTGGGAGTGGGCTCCGCTCAGCTGGCCTGGCCCCTTCCTGGAGGCCTGACCAAATTCTCGCCGGACCCAGAGCGCCCTCCTCCCTCCTGTCCAGGTCGCTGCGGGAGCTTCGATGTCTCCGAACTGGTCCCACGGTCTGCAGCGCCGGCGGAAATGCCACCACGTCTCGGTCTCGGTCAGCCGCTGGGCCCTGCACGGCCCGTGTGCCCCTTGGTGCCCAAGACGCTACACTTTGGGGTTTTTGAAGCGGGTCAGTGCCCCTGTGTTTGTAAACCGTCACCTCTTCCCGTCCAGGGGTGCCGTGCGCCCCACTTTAAGGACCTGGCGGTAAGTCGGCTGTCGCGTCTCTCCTTAAAGTGACCTCGGTTTCAGATTCTTGTCCTTTCTCTTTGCCTTTGACAAACCTCCACCAGGAGATGCAGGCACCCTCCCCGCTGCCTCTGCGATGCTGCAGACAGTGGTGCATTTGCCAGTTTTATGGCTATGCTGTCGGTTTCCCTTGGCAACCACTTGAAGATTTAAAGCACGATTTTTCAAGTCATCACTTCAAGTTTGACCTGAGAGTTGCATCATATCTTACCCTCTTCTTTGCAGTGTAATTCCTTGAAGAAGAGATGGTAGATGGCCTTCTACTCTCCACCCACAACAGGACCACGTGTGAACACACAGTACATTTGTAATGCATTTGGGTTTTTTAAAATTAAGTCATACGTACGTCCATGTATTTGAAAATAATAATATTGCATTTGTATCAGCTTTTCTCTTTAAATGCCTTTCATGTTTCTCTTTCAAAGTCTCTCTCCCCTCCGTCCTGTGGGGTCTCCTCCCTGCAGGGTGACCACCCCTTTAGTCTGACCCCTAATCCCTGCAGCCCCCAACCCAGGACGAACCTGATTTCAGGTGATGGGCAGGGAGAGGCTCAGAACTGGTAGCCCCGGTTTCTCCAGGGAAGAGGTCAGCCCCTGGGCTGGACGCCCACCCACCAAGCTCTGTGTCCTCTGTTGCTGGCACCGGGCACCGTGGTGGCTGCTGAGTGGACATGGCTGAGCAGGCTGAGTGGACATCGCTGCGGGAGCTTCGATGTCTCCGAACTGGTCCCACGGTCTGCACCGCCGGCGGAAATGCCACCACGTCTCGGTCTCGGCCAGCCGCTGGTCCCTGCACGGCCTGTGTGCCCTTGGTGCCCGAGACGCTACACTTGGGGGTTTTTGAGGCGGGTCCGTGCCCCTGTGTTTGTAAACTGTCACCTCTTCCCTTCCAGGGGTGCTGTGTGCCCCACTTTAAGGACCTGGCGGTAAGTCGGCCGTCACCGTCCTCTGAGCCACCTCCTCCTCTGCCAGCAACTCCTTTCCCAGGGCCCGACTGTGCCTTGCAGTTTGGTGGTTTCTCCCAGTGGTTCTGCGTTTGCTTCATCTTGTGAAGTGAGAATGTGGCAGCCAGGGAGGCTGGGTCGGCACCAGGGGGGCTGGGTTGGCACCAGGGGGGCTGGGTCGGCACCAGGGGGCCACAGGCTGACCAGCCGAAGTTAGGCACACATGAGACAGTGGAAGAGATTCTTTATTTAAGATGTTTTATTGATTTCAGAGAGGAAGGGGGAGGGAGTGAGAGAGAGAAACATCAATGATGAGAGAGAACAACAGATCAGCTGCCTCCTGCATGCCCCGCACTGAGATGGGTCGGCACCAGGGGGGCTGGGTTGGCACCAGGGGGCCGCCGGCTGACCAGCTGAAGTTAGGCACACACACGACAGTGGAAGAGATTCTTTACTTAAGATGTTTTATTGATTTCAGAGAGGAAGGGGGAGGGAGTGAGAGAGAGAAACATCAATGATGAGCGAGAACAACGGATCAGCTGCCACCTGCACGCCCCACACTGGGAATCCAGCCCGCAACCTGGGCCTGTGCCCTGACCGGGAATTGAACTGTGATGTCCTGGTTCATAGGTCGACACTCAACCACTGAGCCACACCAGCTGCGCTAGAAATATACCTTATGCTTAGATATAATATACTTTACACATGTAATATACATGCATATATGCATGCGTATATATGTATAACTACATATATACATACAACTTGTTTTGTTTTTATTCTTTGATTGAAAGGCAAGAACTTTTTGACGGGTTTGTCACTGAAGAAGCAGGTTATTTTGTCATCTTTAGTTCTGTTGATCTGCACAGAATGTGCAGCTGCTTCTGTGGTTCTTTAGGCGGCATTGTTTGTGTGACACCGTGCTTCCCTTTCACAAACTGTGATCACGATCACGACGTGTCTGAGAATTGGGCCTCGGTTCCAGGCCTTGATCTGTCTCGAACGTACCTCACAGCTTAGAGTCCAGTATCCAGGCCCCGTTGGGGTCCGGCAGCCCTGCAGACGCGGGGCCTTCGTGATGGGGGACTCATGTGACTCGTGCTCTGAGACGCGCGGGTGGGAGTGACAGGCTGACCCGCTTCTGGAACCTGACGGGAGGGAGCCGGTCAGGGGCCCCGGCCTTGGGGGCGGCTGTCAGGGGCCCCGGCCT